AGAGGCGTAGCCAAAGACGGTTGGATACACGGGTGTTACCTGCTCTACCCAGTACTTCACTGCTAGCGTTACCCGCTCCTAGGCAACCATCCCCTGAACCCATGCAGTTGGGTGCTACGGGGTTAACTGAGGCCGAAAGAGCGTACCGTAGAAGGGAGGGCTTATGCCTTTATTGTGGGAAGAGGGGGCATCACTGTAAAGCCTGCCCTAAAGTACAGGGAAACTGCAGCACCTAAGGCCTAGAGAGGGGTCGGCCTCGGGTGTTATGACTTTGTCCCCTCATATGTCCATCTCCAGACCGTTTATTACGGTTTCTCTTTTGGTCAATAAAACCACTATAACAACCAAAGCCCTGATCGATTCGGGTGCGGCAGACAACCTTATGGATGAGACCTTTGCCAAAACCGCAGCCCTGAATTTGATCCGAAAGGAGACACCCTTGGCCGTTGAGGCCATAGATGGTAGACCACTGGAGAAACCTCTGGTGACTCATGAAACCCAGGAAATAGTTATGTCTGTGGGTGTTTTGCACAAGGAGAAGTTAACCTTCCAAATAATTGACTCCCCTACAGCCTCCATCGTTCTGGGTTTTCCCTGGTTAGTTAAACACAACCCTGTTCTTGATTGGGGTTGTTTAGATATACTCTCCTGGGGGGAATCTTGTCAACGAGACTGTATGGCTCATGTACGTCCTGTTTGTTTACTTAACGTGCCCACGGCTAAACCACTCTCGGTTTCTGTTCCTTCTGTTTATGCAGACCTTGCCTTGGTTTTTGAAAAGAGGGAGGCAGATAAGCTACCTCCACATCGTGAGTATGATTGTGCCATAAACCTCTTACCGGGTGCTATGCCTCCTAGGGGAAAGGTCTACCCTCTTTCTGAAAAAGAGAACCAGATCATGGAGGAGTACATACGGGAATCCCTAAGAAAAGGTTTTATTAGAAGGTCCTCCTCTCCTGCTGGTGCTGGTTTCTTTTTTGTGGCAAAGAAGGAAGGCGATTTGAGGCCATGTATAGACTACAGGGGTCTAAACAATATAACGGTTAAAAACGCCTACCCTATCCCGCTCATCACTGAGTTGTTTGATCGTGTTAAAGGTTCTAAATTCTTCACCAAATTATAACCTTGTCCGTATAAAGGAGAATGACGAGTGGAAGACAGCGTTCAACACACGCAGTGGGCATTACGAATATCTGGTTAATGCCTTTTGGACTGTGTAATGCTCCTGCCGTGTTTCAGGACCTCATAAATGATGTCCTTAGGGATCTATTGCATGTCTGTGCTGTGGTGTACCTTGACGACATACTTGTGTATTCTCCTGATTTGAAGTCACACCATAACCATGTTAGGATGGTGCTCAAAAGGCTATTGCAGAACGGACTCTACTGTAAGTTAGAAAAATGTTTATTAGATCAGATCTCTGTGCAATTCCTAGGATATATCATTACTGAACAGGGTTTCAGTATGGATCCTGCTAAATTGGAAGCTATACTGTCCTGGCCACTTCACCAAGGACTGAAGGCTATCCAGCGTTTTATAGGCTTTGCCAACTATTATAGGAAATTTATTAAAAACTTTTCACCACTTATCTCTCCTATAACGAAGCTGACAAAAAAAGGTCTACACCCTAGGGTTTGGACTCCTGAAGCCCTTAAGGCCTTCGAAACCCTCAAGAAGGCATTTGCCTCTGCTCCAGTGCTGCACCACCCTGATCCTTCTCTTCCCTTTGTTATGGAAGTAGACGCTTCAGAGTCAGGTGTGGGAGCCGTACTGTCACAGAGGTTGTCGTATGACAAACCCCTCCATCCCTGTTGTTATTTTTCTAAAAGGTTGTCTGATTCAGAGAAGAATTACGATGTTGGGAACAGGGAACTATTAGCTATTGTGTTAGCTTTTAAGGAATGGAGGTACTTATTAGAGGGTTCTAGACACAAAATTATGGTTATAACAGATCATAAGACCCTATCCTATATAGCTGATGCTAGAAGGTTATCTGCCCGGCAGGCTAAATGGTCTCTATTTCTCTCACGCTTCCAATATGTTATTACCCATAGACCTGGTTGCCTTAATGCCAAAGCTGATGCTATCTCACGGCAGCATGAACCAGTAGAATTTGTTAACCTGACTCCTGAACCTATTGTACCTGCGTCTCAGATAATAGCTGCTACCCGTTTGGTTGTTTCTTCACCTTTCCTTGATAGTATTAAGACATACCAAACCCAGGCACCCCCTGAGACGCCGGTTGGTAAACTATACGTTGAAGCAAATGACAGAAAAAAGTTGTTAACTTTATTTCACACAGCCAAAATTGCTGGTCATCCCGGGGTTACCAAAACCTACAAGGGCCTCCTTCAACAGTTCTGGTGGCCTTCACTCAAGCGAGACGTAGTGGATTTTGTTCAGGCTTGTCAGGTCTGCACGCAGTGTAAGTCCCTTAATGTGAGACCCCAGGGTTTTCTGATGCCTCTATCTATACCCAAGAAACCATGGACCCACTTATCCATGGATTTCATTGTAGGCCTGCCTCTTTCTGATGGTCAGACGGTGATACTGACTGTGACAGATAGGTTCTCTAAAATGGCGCACTTTATTCCGCTTAAGAAACTGCCTTCTGCGGTTCAGTTAGCTCAGGTGTTTGCCAAAGAAGTGTTCCGATTGCATGGGGTACCTCAGGATATCGTATCTGACAGGGGCCCTCAATTTGTCTCTCGGTTCTGGAGGGGCTTTTGTGCTGAGATGCGGGTCTCCTTGTCGTTCTCTTCCTCTTATCACCCGCAATCTAATGGTGCGGCCGAACGTGCTAATCAGTCTGTGGAATTGTATTTGCGCTGCTTCACTAATGCGCACCAGGATGACTGGTCTCGCCTTCTTCCGTGGGCTGAATTTGCCAGGAATACGGTGTCTCATTCGTCTACTGGCTTAAGTCCTTTTGAGGTTGCTTATGGGTTTCGTCCTTCTGTCCTTCCCGGTGCGTTCTCCGACAAGGGAATGCCCGCCTTGGACCAGCACCTCGCCTCTTTGCGGAAGACGTGGGATCAGGTCCATGTTGCGCTGTCTCGTTCAGCAGCTGCTCAGAAAAAGTTTGCTGATCGCCGTAGGGTTGCGGCCCCTTCTTATGTTCCGGGTGATAGGGTATGGTTGTCCTCCAGGAACCTCCGTCTCAAGGTTCCCTTGATGAAATTTGCCCCCAGGTTTCTTGGTCCCTTCAAGGTGTTACGTAGGGTTAACCCGTTTCCTACTCCCTTGATCTGCCTCCTTCCATGCGTGTCCCGAACACGTTTCACGTCTCGCTTTTGAAGCCCTTGCTGTGTAACCGGTTCTCTCGTCCCCTCGGGCGGCCCGTTTCCCCTCGCGCTGTCTCTGACGACGTGTACGAGGTGGCTGCCCTTCTCGACTCTCGTGTTTCTAGGGGTCGGCTGCAATATTTGGTGGACTGGAAGGGGTACGGCCCTGAGGAGCGGTCCTGGGTTTCGAGCTCTGATGTGCACGCTCCCTCTTTGGTCCGCTCCTTTCATGCCCGCTTTCCTTTGAAGCCTTCCGCTTCCCGCCCTCCGGGCGGTCTTCGAGGGGGGGTAATGTCGGGATCCCGCGGGCGGCTGCGAGGGGAGGCTGCACTCCGCTCGCGGTACTCACCCTCCAGCCGTCCGCGGTCCCCTCCTCCTCGTGGGTCCGGCGAGCGGCATCCTTCCAGCCTCGGATGCCGCCCGCCGTTTCCTCCACGTCCCCCAGCGGCAGCATACATGACGCTGCACGCTGGGAGACCGCCCAGGTTTATACACGCCGGGGTCAGTCACCTGACCCGGCATTAAAGGCACAGTGCCTTAATCACAGTGGGAGGTCTAGATATCTCCCACGTGTGATTGTTAATTCTGATTGGAAATTATCCAATCAGAATTAACCTTATGGTTTAAATACTTACCTTTCCTGTTCCTCCCTGCCCTGTTGTGGTCTTTGCTTTCTAGTATTGCTACTTACCTTGTGCTTCTGGTTACGTACTTTCTGGCTTGTTTATCTGACTCTGTGACTTTCTCCTAACCTTTGACCTCGGCTTGTTTCACGTTATTCTGTCTTCTGGTTCCCCTTACTCGGCTTGTCTCCTGACTATTCTGTGTGTGCTTAGCCCGGCCACTCTAAGGTCCGGTACGGCACCTTTTGTGTGTGTGTGTGTGCCAGCGTGTTGGGTTCCCCGAATCGTGACACTAATCAACCAGAGCTGTGTTTGGCTGGTGCTGGCTCTGCCCCTGATCTTCCTCCATGACTGTCTCAGCCAATCCTATGGGAAACCATTGTGATAGGCTCAGATCACCACTTCTGATGCTGTCAGCCAAACAGACATATCAGGGCCAGAGCCAGCAGCAGCATACTGGATTAAAGGTAAGATTTTGCTAAATTTAGGGGGGTGAGGGGGATCAGGGAGGCTATATGGTGGTTTTAACACTTTAAGCATTGCTCCGTTGCAAGTTTTAGACATCTAGCACAAATGACCACATTTGCTTCATGGGGCCAATCAGGTGAGGGTATAGGGATGTTTTAAAATAGCAGCGCAATCCACCAGAGTGCAAGTAGTTAAAAGAAAACAAAACTCTGCTGTGCAAGGCCAACCACCCTATAATTAACCATTTCATTAAAATTCCAGCTTAATCCAGATATATAAGTCAAAGTAGAGATTACTTTGTCTGATGGGCAAGCCTGAGGTTGTCAAAAGTCGAAGTGCCTAATTTCCGAAGTGCCGAACCGAACCGAATTGCCGAAGTGATGAATTTCAGAAGTGCCAAAGTGCTTTGGACTTCTGAAAAGTGGCAAAATGGGTAGGGGTAGGATTGGGGTTGGGGTAGGGTTGGGGTTGGGGTAGGGTTAGGGATAGGGGTTGGGTTATGGGGTATGGTTAGGAGTATTGTAAGGGGTAGGGTTAAGTTAGGAGTAGGGTTCAGGTAGGGTTAGGAGTAGGGTTAGGGTTGGGCTAGGAGAGGGTTTAGAGTTACCGTAGGGTTGGGGTAGGGTTTGGATTGGGTAAGGAGCAGGGTTAGAGTTAGGAGTAGGGTTGGGTTAGTAGTAGGGTTAGGGGTAGGGTTAGGAGTAGGGTTAGGGTTAGGAGTAGGGTACCTCTACCCCTAACCTAACCCTACTCCTAACTCTAACCCTACCCTAACCCTACTCCTAACCCAACCCTAAGCCTACTCCTAACCCTAACCCTACTCCTAACTCTACCCTAACCCTACTCCCAATGCTAACCCTACACCTAACCCTAATCCTAACCCAAACCTAACCCTACTCCTAACCCAACCCTAACCCTACTCCTAACCCAACCGTACTCCTAACCCTAATCCTAACCCAACCCTAACCCTACTCCTAACTCTACCCCTAAACCTAACCCTACTCCTAACCCTACTCCTAAACCTACTAATAACCCTAACCCTACTCCTTACCCTGCTCCTAACCCAGCCCTAACCCTAATCCTAACCCAACCCTAACCCTACTCCTAACCCAAACCTAACCCTACACTTACCTGAAGTGCCGAAGTCCCGAATTTCAGAAGTGCCGAACCGAACCAAATTGCTGAAGTCCTGAATTGACGAATTTCGGAATGCCGAACCGAACCAAATTTTTTCCCATGTACATTCCTACCAATTACTAGAAACCATAGGAAAATACCTGAATTTACCTGAGCCTCTACACAAGGAGCAATGTATTTCTGCTCCAAAACATGTGAGTACCATATTTTGCTGTACAATATCTAACTCAATGGGTGTTAAAATATTATAATATATTGTGTTATTACTTTTTTATTTTTTACCACTATGTATATGGTGTATTTTTTTAAAGAATTTTGCTGCTATAAGTATACATAGATATTTTCTGCCAGAGGAATTGCTATGGGAGGGCTTTGGAGGGCTAGGTACTGCTGCTGTCTTGCTACATCAAAAGGTAAGTAGGTGCAGTATACAGAAACCTACTATGAGGAAATAGTAGGAAAATTAGCAATTGCTAAAGTGGTTTAGGACAATGTTGGTTCAGTATTTAAAAATTTGAAGAAAAAAAAACGTGAAGCATTAAAAAAAAAGTGACAAGCAGCTTTGAAAAGGGGTATATATCTGTGCAAAATAGTAAGCACAGGTGCTGCAAACTGAGGGTTATAATGCTGGATTTACTAAATGGATTCAGATATCACAAGAGGGGTGTGCTGATGAATAGTGATGGAAAGAAAAGAGGCTGCAGGGGTTTAAAATGATTGATCAAGAGAAGGGTTATCTTGATTGATGAGGTGGAGGGGGACTACAGGGATTAAAGGGACACTCCAGACCCAGTGCAGTGGATGTTCCTGGGAACAACACTCAGTAATTCCCTATTCAGAAAAATATGTTTACGATTAAGATGTTATGGTGCACGGAGTGTCACTTTAAAATCCTCGAAATTCTAGAAATTAATTTCATTAATAAGTGCGAGACTTTGTTTTTAGGAAGTTAAAAGATTAAGTTGCCTTGCAACTATGAATATAAGAAAAATAGTAAATATATCTAGATGAAAGTTTTCTCTGCACCAGGAGTTTTTGTAGCTTTTAAAAGCTTTATAATGTGTATTATATAAGGTTCCCTAATTCCATTAGGCACTGTGTTTACTTTAGGTATTTTTATAAGCACGTCTATTCTATTCTCCACTGACCTTTAAAATAATGAAATTTCTTTTGTGCTGGTACATAAAAAATTATTTTTATATTCTCAACATATAAGCATACATAAATATGTTTTGTTTAATTTCTAATTTCTAAATAATAGAAAATAAAATGTTATGGCCTTAGTAAGCTGGCGAGAGAACAAAGGTATAAAAAAATAACTAAACAAACAAAATTAGTATTAGAATGAGAGACAAGGACATTGTAAAAATAATGTTTAGAAAATCCACATCTTTTTTTTAGTTATTCTAATATCAACTAGTTTTAAGGTAATTGGGTACAAACAAATATGTGTGAATTATCGGTAACCTACAGTGAATACAAAAGTGAGTTTCAAAATACCAGATCAGAAAACACTTGTGGGGATAATTCACAAAAGTTTAAATTTAATGAGCAGAAATCTGAATGGAAAATTTTAGGCAAATCCATCCAAGCTTTGACTGACAACAGCTGATTTGAAGAACGTGTTCCAATTTGTAACTCAATTCACTACAACATAGTGTTCAGCAAATAAACCCTACCTAACAGTTAATTTTTCCAATACATTTACATTGGTCTAAAATTTGAAATTCACTTAGAATTCCTGACAATTCCCCCTGTAATGAACTGCCCTGCTTATGTAACTTGGTCTATAAATACATTGCACGTTGATATATGCTTTATTTTTAGGTTTATTATGAGGAATGGGATTTTCAGAGAAATAGATGTAACTAAAACTATAGACTAAGCCTCTAATAATTTAAGCAATATCTACAGCCTATAGTTATGGACTTGTATCAACTATAACAATCTTCAGTTTGTATGAGTTTAGGTTGCAGCAATATGTGATGAAATCTCTCTATGTTTCACCTGTGGGTATACACATGCATGGTCATACAAATACTTTGGGAGTGGAGGGCCCCCTAGTGGGCACGTAACAAATTAAGGGGTTTACTCCTTGGTGTGGAGTGCAACGAGGTAGATACTTTGTGAGGCAGGAGGGAGGGGCCCTTTTCATACCTTATTTGATGGCCCTTCAAGCATGCCAGTCTTTCTCTGCTTTATCCTATGCATGATTCTCCGCCTTTGTGGAGTTCCTTGTGGTGGCAGCACTGAGTTTTGCCTCTCCTTGGTCCGAGTGGTTAGTTGCCCGGTGCAAGGTCTGCGTAGTTGAGCTCGCTGATCTGCCCGGTTTAGTTTTCGACTCTCCTGTGGTAGCTGTTGGTTTGATTCGGACTGGCATCACTACTGCTCAGTTGAACCAGAGTTTCCTTCCCTCTCCTGCGAGAGGGTACGGCTCCAGTGTAAAGCAAAGATGGAAGACTGGCGTGCTGGCAAATTTTGATTGGGCTGTTTCCCACTCATGTTATTGGGAGGTGTGAAGGGGCCCTTTCAGAGCATCAATGTGAGGTGGAAGATCTTCCCTGCGGCCCGTTATGCCTCTGCTTGGGCAAAAGGGCAAGGTGGAAGCCACATTCTCTTGTGGTCTGAGGCATGTAGTTAGGGCCAGAGCCGATATCAGGGCATGACAACCATGATGGGGGGGCCTTGACAGCTCTATGTGCATATGTGTATATATAGCGCTTATCGCTATATATGTGCACTGGCAGGCTCCCGGCTACCTGTACACTGCAGAGGGGGCCCAGCACACTCCATCTTCACTTCCCAGCTGCTCTTCTCTCTTTAAGAACATTGCCACGAGTTACCATGTCTACTCTCTGTGTGACTAGTGAGAGTTAGAGAGAGAAGATCAGCTGGGAAGTGATGAACGAGTGTGTTGGGCCACCTCTGCAGTGTACAGGTCGGTGGGGGCCCACACCATGCCACTGGACCACCAAGGAATGGGATTTCCCCCGAGCCTCACTGGCCACAGGTGAAAAGCAAGGAGGGAGGAATAAAATAAAATTTCTTACAATAAATTTTAAAAAATAACACAAATATGCTCTCGCCCCTCACCCCCCATCTCTTCGGAGTATGCAGCCCTGCAACAACATTTTACACATTCACACACACTGCATCCTTACACAAACACACACTCTGCAGTCACTACACACACACTACATCCTTACAAAAACACACTCTGCAGTCACTATATACACTACATCTAATACACACAAACACTATATCCATTACACAAACACACACTCTGCATTCCCTATACACTCACTACATCCACTACACAAACGCATACCATGCAGTCACTATACCCACACTACAACCACAACACAAATACACACTCTGCATTCATTACACACACTCTGCAGTCACTATACTTATTGCATTCAATAAACACACTCTGCATTCACTATACACACACTACATACCTAGAAATACGCACACTCTGCATTCACTATACACAAACTACATTCCTTACACAATCACACACTCTGCATTCACATTACATACTCTGCAGTCAGTATACACACACTACATCCACTACACAAACACACACTGTGCATTCACTATACACTCTCTGCAGTCACTATATACACTGCATCTAATGCACACAAACACTATATCCACTACAAAAACACACTCTGCATTCACTATAAACACACTACATCCACTACACAAACACTACATCCACTACACAAACACACACTTTGCATTCAATATACACACACTACAGCCACTACACAAACACATACACTGCATCTAATACACACAAACACTATATATATTACACAACCGTACACTTTGCATCCACTATACACACTGCATGCATGACACACACCGCATCCACTTTACACATTCTACAGCCACTATACACACACACATTATCCTTGTGGGTGGACTCGGGGGCAGGCCCTGTGGCCGGATTTGTTTGGAGGCGGGGCCCTGGGGCTCAGAACTGGAGCTGTGTCAGGGGCCCAAAAATTTCTGTTGGCAGCCCTAGTTAGGGCCTCAGTGGCACCACACTAGTCAACAGTTATTCTATATTAATATGTTATTTTTTTGTCGCATAATCGTTGGATGCATTTTAATTATTGTTTATTAAAGCAACCAGCAATGGTATATTGGGGAGGTTTGGGAAAATGGTAAAGAAGGTGGAGGTTGTGTGTATACTGTATTATGTTTTTATCTATGTATTTGCACATAAGGACAATAGGAGATTTATCCCTTATGACAGCAACACTTACAAAACAATGCAGGGAACTTTCAGTAAGCTGATATTTTATTGGAATTGGTGTTAAAGCAGCTATGCATCCTGACTCAACTACATCTAATTGCCTCCCTAGTCACCCCCAAATGCCCCAAATCTTTTCAACTTTATTTTATGCCCGGACCTAGGTCCTGGGCACCGCCATTTTTGTGTGGGCAGATGAAGTCACTGTGGGACACGTCATCTGCCCACACTAGAGAGCGCTATGAAATTCCCACGCATGCCCCGTTAAACACTTGGGCATTCGCTATTGTCTGAAATTTGGACGGGAATTTCATCTATTCGCCTTTTCATTTGTCAGAGAGACGAATAAAAGAACAGAAATTTTAGACGAATAAACAAACACCG